TTATTTATCTACTTTATATTTCATTTGTATTTTGTGGCATTCATGTGGACGGCAAAGTAAGAATTTCATTGTACAGGGAAACATGTTTCCTAACTGTGCATATGACAAAATAAACACATCAACCTTTAAGTACCAGCAGTACCAGTACTGGTCCTCCAGAACGGCCCGTGTCCCAGTAACGTCTCTGATACTGGATCATAGTGACTAATTACTGTGTCCATCACTTTAATGCTGCAGCTGGTAAAGGTGGAGCTGATGGTAACTACCTTATATACTTATACTGTGAAGTACTTTACATCCTGCTGGGTAGCTGGTGGATTTCCTACTGGGATTCATAGAGTCTGATGGTTCTACTGGGTTTGGTTTGATTCATCTGATTCAAAGTACATGACGTGCAGTAAAAAGTACATGGTTTGTCTCTGACATGGAGTGAAGTCAGTATGAAGGAGCAGGACATGGAAGTACTCAGGTAAAATATGGATACCTAAACACTGTACTTCAGTACAGCACTTGAGTAAATGTACTTAGTTACTTACTTACTGCAGAGGTGGTGATCCAATTTAGGAACAGGAAACCTGCTGGATTTTCACATTAAATGTCTCCCACTAATCTAAACGACAAACCTGACCCGTGCCTTCTCTCTAACAACATGTACAACAGACACAAGACACCATAGTAAAGTGTGGCCTCACTGCAGCGACCTAGGATGTTTTCACTGTTTAGTCATTGTGTAGTTTTTGTACAGTGGTCACACGCTGTGTTTTTGATCCACAACAATAACTGTTTAGGTGTATAATCTGTAACATGTTCCTGACTCCAGCTTCGGCCCTGCTGTGCCTACACAGTGAGTCTGCAGCAGTAGTAATGTTAGTCTGGTAGCATCATGAGGGGCAGTTTATACTGTACACGCCATGTCCCAAAGTAACGGACACACACTGGTCACTGCTGATGACTTTCATTATTATTGTTTTATGGCTCAGTTTTATGATGAGATGTGTTCTTTTATTTAACAAAAACCACTCTGCTTGTGCTCCTGAACCCGGTCTCTACTGTCACAGTCCTGCTAAACAACTTGGCATCATACAGAGTTCATGTCTAGGAGTCGGGGCTGACAGCTCATTAAGTCTAACAGTGACCAGCCTGTAGTAGTGCTGATGCTGCCCGTGACTTTATGGGGACAGGTCGGCACAGGGAGGCTGGACTGACGGGATGGTTGGAGAGTTACTGTTGCAGCTGTTAAAACAAAGAGAAGAACCTGCGTGTCACTGACCGTGGGAGACAGTCACACCATCACAAGGTCAGGGTTGGACTAATACTTGGAAAACGCATCCTTTGTTTCTCTATCTGCATCTCCTCAGCTTGTACACGCCGCAGGTCACAGCTGAGTCACAGCGAGTTTCTCCTGTCTGACTCTGAAGTTACAGCAGATTTACACAGTGGACGTGCCGCACTAACACAGCACCGCGTTCCCGTTGAAGATGCCTGAGCTTCCCATAAGTTACCGTTGTTGCTTTAAAACCCATCGTGTTACTTTCGACAGCTTTTGTATGTACAGTATTTGTTACGCTCCACAAATCCCATCCGGAGACCTAAAGTGAAGCTCCAGCATACAAGGAGAATGTGGAAAAGAAGGAAAACATCATCTCTATCCACCAAGCAGAAAAGCATCAAACCAACAAAACACACCAGGACCAGACACAGAGTTAGAGATGACCCCAGTCAAACAGTGAGCGTTACTGTCAGAAATGGCAGGAGACAGGATGTACGTGGCTGTGTCAGACCAGAGACACACCGGCATGAACTCATCATTTGATGTGCCTCAGGACACATGCAGAGCCAAACACAAACAGCAGGGGAACAAAGAAACATCCACAAATCCTAGAGGGGATCTCAACACATGATGAAATAGTTTTAAAGAACAAATGACACCATCAGCTCCACAACAGCAGCAGCAGCTTTCCAGTGTGAAACACAGCAGAGCACATTCTCCACAACAGCAGCAGCAGCTTTCCAGTATGAAACACAGCAGAGCACATTCACATTACACTTTTAATGGCACACAACTGTATCCCAACTGTGACGCACACAGCCACAGCACCAAGCCCGCCTTAAAAAGAGCACAGAGCAGGCACATCCAAGATGCACTGACAGGGAGAGGGTACTAACTTGGGAGCAGCAGGGCGGATAACCTTGTTTGGCCGACAGCAAGAAGGCGGCAGAGGGAGGAAGAGGAAACAGAAAGAACATAGTGTCAGTAGAAAACAGAGTCACTCTTTGACTGTGAGTCCAGACGCTCAGCGAGGCCCTTCAGGTTGTTACAACGTCAGCCCGGCTGTAGAGAGGGAACACACAAAGGTCAGAGGTCAGAGACGAGCTCAGGTCAGAGCTGTCAAACCCTGGAGCAGAGAGGCTGAGACAGCAGCCAGGGTTCTCACGCCACAGTACTCGGTGGTACTCCGAGCCTTCACTGGAGTAAAACTAGAAATACCACAGGGTAGAAACACTGCTACAAGTACTGCATTCAAGCACATACTAGCTTCAGCATGTACTTGAAGTACCAGCAGTACCAGTACTCGTCCTGCAGAACGGCCTGTGTCCCAGTAATGTCTCTGATACTGTATTATAGTGACTAATTACTGTGTCCATCACTTTAATGCTGCAGCTGGTAAAGGTGGAGCTGATGGTAACTACCTTATATACTTATACTGTGAAGTACTTTACATCATGCTGGGTAGCTGGTGGATTCACCTACAACCTTCCTGTTCCAGCTTCTCCGCCCTGTGATGTCAAAGCACAGTTTGTAAATCAGCCCTGCCTGCCACCTAGCCAAGGTTAGCAGGGTTTTTCCAGCCACCAGTAGTCATGTCAAGCAGCCACAGAGGAGCTCTGGGCAGCTAAAGGTCTGACTGGCCTCGCTCGACTCTCTGTCACTTTAAGCTCATTTTCTCCCCAGCACAGACCTGAAGTAAACATGAAACAGCACGTAAGACTGGAGTCCAGGAGGGCTCAGTCCGGAGCTCAGACCGTGGACTTTAGGGTTCAACCAGGGACATAACTAATGAGGGTGGTGATTGCAGGAAGCTTGAGGCTGTTCAGTCCAGTGGTGTCATGTTAGTGGGTGACACTGTGCAGGGCCTGAGGTTCTCAGTGTGGCCAGAAGGTTCCCTGACCTTTAGCAGCAGCCAGAGGAACCAGCAGGTGCTTGGACTCCTCAGTGACACAGTAACCGAATCACACTGTGAACCGAGGAAACACCACAGGCATGCTGGGTAACAGACTGTGTGTGTGTGGCCCTGAGGATGAATGGTTATGTAACTGGCGCATACTCCGCGCTCATCGCAGCCTTGTAATGCTTGAGGGTTTAAAGTGTGTGTGTTGATCTGTTACAGGATTGTGTGTGTGTGTGTGTGTGTGTGTGTGTGTGTGTAAAGACGTGATGTGGTTTCACTTTAAGCCCAAAGGGACCCCCGATCCTCCTCCTCACGCCTCACTAACAGTCTTCATCATCATCACTCAAGCATTTGAGTCACATTTCTGCTTTCAAACTTCATTTTCTTCTTAATAGCACAGATTCATCGTATCTGGCCAGAGCTTCAGTCAACACCGGTGATTCATCAGTCAGTCTTTGGTTTTGTTTTGGGAGGTGCACATTTTTCTCCTTCTGTTCTGGGTCAAAGGTGAGCAGGGCAGATGATACGGGAGCTGCTGAGGTCCATATACGAACCTCAAATGGGAAGCTCTGAGGTGGAGCTGCTGCAGAGGAACAGCAGATGCAAAGAAGCTCAGTTTTACAGCACATTCACTGATGTTTAAATGTTTGTTTTTTGTAAAACAGTGCCTTTTGTTTTGTGCTTCAAAGCAAAGCTCGTGTTAGCCTGCATCTCTGCTGTGACGCGTTCACTTGCTGTTTACGTGCTGAAGCTGTGAATGTCGACCCAACTGCTTAGTTTGAACATCATGAATCAAAGCAGCAAAGTGACGCGTGACTTCCAGCTCTGCACCAGGAGTCGCTTTCCACAGAACCGGAGATGGTGTAAATGCAAGCTGAGCTGGAAAAACATTGGTTCTTCAGCTCAGTTTAAACCCGTCTGTGTTTTATCCCCAGTAGCTCCACCTCTGACAAACAGTTTTGAAACTCCTGCCATGTTTCCTGCCTCTTTGGGCCTTTCTGTCTCTACGTACCCCACAGGCCGTCCCGCCTGAATTGCTGCCATCTCCCTCAGACCCCCCTCTGAGTACAGGCCGATGGGCGAATTATACTGCTTCCTCTGAGCGGGGCTCACAGCCGCTGCCGCTCTCCTTCCGGGAGAGTCTGCCTCTAGAGGCCCGGAGGAGGCACCGCAGGCTGACGGGCGGCCGTTGACCTGCACCGACTGAGAACGGGGAGAATGTTGGGTAACAACCATCAATATCTTATCAAAGTGTTCTATAGATGAATTCTATTGTAAGCGTCTGCAAATGTGCTTTTAGAGCGTATGGTCTAGGGGAAGGGAGTTCCAGAGGCTGGGGCCACATACAGCAAAAGAACGGTCGCCCCATTTTTATATCGAGCTCACGGGACAGCCAGGGACAACTGTTCTGAGGAGTGAAGGGCTCTACGCGGAACGTACCTGGACAGAAGGTCCGACAGGTATGGTGGAGCAAGGCCATGGATAGCCTTAAAAAGAAATAGACACATCTTAAATTTAAATCTGTACTGTATTAGGAGCCAGTGTAAGGAACGAAGAACCGGGGTAATATGAGCATACCTGGGGGAGTTTGATAAAAGGCGGGCTGCTGCATTTTGAACTAGTTGAAGTTTCCGGAGTGAACCCTGAGGCACACCTGCATAAAGGGCATTACAGTAGTCTAAATGCGCGGTAATAAAAGCGTGAGTGGCTTTCTCTAAATCGGCAGATGACAAAAAAGGTTTCACTTTCGTTAAAAATCTTAGGTGAAAAAAGCTGGTCTTAACCATGGCTCTGATCTGCTTATCGCAGTTGAACCCACTGTCAAAGATTATTCCAAGGTTTTTCACCGTATCTGCGAGTCGGAGGGCTGAGGCATTTAGGCCAGCTGCAACCACCGCCGAATCGGGGCTGATGAGAATATATTGTTTTGCTTTCATTTAAATGCAGGAAATTTTGAGCAAGCCATTGCTTGATGTCACTAATGCAGTTTTGCAACGGAGTAAGTGCATTCGAGTCTGACAGGAGCAGTGGCATATAGATCTGGATGTCATCCGCATAAAAATGAAAGTGAACATTATGGCTAGATATAATTCACGCGAGAGGTGCCATATACAAAGAAAAAAGTAATGGCGCCAGGATAGAACCTTGTGGAACACCTGAGGTGAGAGGAGCTATGTCAGACGAGAAATCATCAATGATGACAGAAAAGGTTCTGTCAGTCAAAATAGAAGCAAACCAGTTTAAGACCGTACCTCGCAACCCGACAAGGTGTTCAAGTTTCGAAAGTAAAATTGCATGGTACTGTATCAAAAGCCACAGATAAATCTAAGAACTAAGATAATGGACAATTGGCATCAAGGGCCGTGGTGATGTCATTATGAATCTTAAGTAGTGCCGACTCTGTACTATGGCGGGGTCTAAAACCTAACTGAAACTTATAAATCCCTCATGCTAACTTATATCTGTTAGATACCACTCACTCATCATTTTAATATATTTTATTTATATTCTATTCATATTTTTAATGTTTACAGACTATCATCATCAATAGCTTTTCAGTATTTCTTCTGCTTTACAGTCTTGATACCTTACATAAAGCTACAGAGTGTTTATATCACATCAGTATTATCCAGCATCACAAGTCTATAGGCCTCAAAGATAACGTCCTATATATAAACCAAATAATTAAGATATTGATCATTTACATTTATTTTGGCTGATGCTTGTATCCAAACTGATGAGCGTTAGATAATCCGAGTCTTCAGGTTCAACCAGTGGTGACTGAGCGTCTCAGTGCACACAGGAGCATCCAGCCCTGTGGAACTGGAAACAAAAGGTTTTCACCCACCCAGTATTTTTTGTTAAACCGTGCATGAAGGGTTTTGCCTTGTCTTTCTCCCAGCGGCCACCAGAGGGCAGCAGCCCACTGTTTGGAAACAATGTGACTGAACCTTCACATCTCAGCTTCAGGCTGAGGATGGGGTTCACAGTGTGTGTGTTGTTACACTCATATGCTTCCACATTTGGCCAGTCTGACCAGTCTAACCAGTCCAGATGATCTGATGCTAGCAAAGAGAAAACTCCATGTACAGTGTATAAAAGTTGTCCCTATCCATCACCCCGTCCTGCAGCCTGACACAGAGCCCAGACCTGCACCAGAGTGCTCAGAGACCAGAAGGACCAGGAGTTCTGCAATGTGAGGGTCCAGGGTTCAAGTCCCTGTTTGGGCAACAGTGCTTTTTTTCTGGGGGCGACTGTGGTACGGTGGGTAAAGCAGTCGTCTTCTAACCAGAGGGTCGGAGGTTTGAATCTCGGTGCCTCCAGTCCACGTGTCGAAATGTCCTTGGGCAAGACACTGAACCCCCAAGTTGCCCCCGATGATTAGAGCCATCGGTTGAGTTGGCGTTGCAGATGGCTGTCATCGGTTCTGTACCGGAAACAAATTCCTTGTGTGTAACATACTTGGCCAATAAAGGTGATTATCCTTATCCTACCTGCACAGTACCTGGAAACACTGCCTGCAGGTGGACTGAGGGGACCTGGGGCTGGTTTAAAGACAAAGGGGGTGTCACAGCAAATACTGGTCTGGTTTAGTGTTTTCCTCTTCACTGCATTTGGACAAAGGTAACTGATAAACACAAACGACTCATGAAGGGATACTTGACTTTCGATGCCTGACACCTTTACACAGTGTGTATGTTGGCAAAAGGGCTGTGAAGTAAAACACTTGACTCAAGGTGGCACCGAGAGTTTAGATGAATAACAGCACATCAGTGTCATCTCAGAGTCCAGGGTGGATCTGAGCACACCAGACCGCTACAGCACTTTGTAGCAGCAGAAATGCATTGTGGATTAGGATACCTGTTGGTGAGGGATCATGGGAATAATGGTGTCCATTCTCATCGGCGGCATCGGAGTGGGACGTTTAAACCTGCAGGAAAACAAAGGCGATGATCCACGTGTGAACAGGCGTGACCAACTTTCACAGAAATAAAAAACATTTGTACAAGTTTTGTGTCGCTTGGTGCTTTTCTACATTTCTGACTTTAGTCCCGTAAATGAGCTCAGTGTCTGAGGAGTGGCACACTAATACACAGTAAGACAATCTAAACACAACAAACTATCAGGACAGAGAATCTCAAATCAGTTGGTTACTTCAGTACAAATTAAATTATTAAATCAAATTATTCCAGTCTGATCTCACTTTTACAGCCAGAGAACCGATATCACTTCATGTGGGGTTTTTAGGACAGAAACCTGTCAAAGCTGTCTTTGTAAAGAAACAATAAATCCCAGCTTGTCCTTAGATTTCATATTTCCAGGAGGGTTTTTCCCTTTAGACTTCCACATCCAAACAATCTCCTGTGCACTTGTCTGACGCTCAAAGGATTGTGTTATGTGAAAACCAGGGTGCATTAGGAGAGCAGTTCGCAGGCATTTTATTTAATCCATGAAATCCTTCAGAATGTGGGTCGCTGTGATGAAACATTGTTCATTTTCTACAGAAGGACACAGACTGAATGAATCTGTCAACCTTCAGAAGAGAGAGAGAAAAAGGAAAGAAAACCTCTAATTTTCAGCTACAAACAAGACGAGGTCAGAGCACACCCATTACAGGAAACGTCCCCATCAGCCTCAAGGTCAGGACGTAATGGGAAGAGTCAATATTTTAACTATAAAGTTGGAGGAACTTGATAAAAGCCACAGTGAGAAGAGGCTGGAGGGGAGGCTGTAATAACATCTGCCATGTGACTGAGCATTTTACCGGTGAACCGAGCCACAGCTGGTCTTAACTACTGCATATTACAGCCCTGTGGTTCCCAACCTGAAGCCCACTGGGTAAACCTGAGAGGTCGTCAGATGATTCACAGGAGAAGAAAGAACAAAGGTGTGATTCACTGATCTGTTTTCAGTTTTTAAACTCTCATCTTTAATTTGTTATGAAATACTGGTCGATTTTCTGTCTCAGGACCCAAACGATCATTTTAATGAAACCTGTCAGACATTCAGAGAGGATATGTCTCTTTGGTGCATCTGCTAGCAGCTGATCTGAAACCTGTGACCAGGGGCCCCTGCTGGACTCACTTCTGTGTGGCTGTCAGCAGTGCATTTAATAAGGCCTGTACTGTGGATTTTAATGTAAAACCTTAATCTGCACAGCAACAACCTGTAGCTCTCAGATAACTGTGGCGCTGCACATTTCCCTCTGACATATAAAGGAGCAGAGGTGTAAAGTAGAGGTTCTCACTTGGACATGGTGAGTGCCAGGTTGAAGTTGGCCATCTTGATCTTGTTCTGGGCGTCCAGGTGAGTCATGCCCTCAGTGCTGACGCCATCAATGGCGACGATGACATCTCCCTGGATCAGGTTACACTGCGCCGCTTTGCTCCCCGGAGTGATCTGTCTCAACACAAAGACAAGGATGTTTAGCTCTAACTTTTACTCCAAGAATCCTCAGTCAAACAAGCTATGGACGCAAAGACCACGTCTTACACAAACTGAGAGCAAACAAGCAAAGAGTTGTTTTTCAGACCTCCTGGAGTTTTTCCCTCTGAGACAAGTTTGTCCCACAGCCGAGTGACCCCGTCACTCTGAATCTTTTAATCACTCAACTGTAGAAAAGGTTCCATGAAACAATCAATCAAATGGGAAAAGAGTGAATCAAGAGGTTATAATCAAAATGTGTGCTCACAAACTACCCTTGAACCTGGAAATCCACCTGTGAAGCGTGGTTTGGTTGTTGTTTGCAGAGAAAACAAGCTGCTTTCACAACATCAACTAAATGTTTATTGCTCCAACACCTCATGGAAGTTACAAAACTTATTTGGAAAGGAAGCACGAGTCTTTTAGGTCCACAGGCATGTGAACAGTGACCTGAGTAGGTAATGACACCACGTCCAACATCAGACTCAAAATATTATAGGCACTGAGCAAACTCTGTCCATCCATGTTTGTCAGTGGCAGCTGGCCGAGTGTTAGGAGGTGCAACTTAATTCACTTCGACACTCTTTATTTTCCACCATTGGAAAAAATGTCAGGTTCAGGAGAGAAGCTCAAACAGCAGCAGTTGTCTTCTAAAGTATGCTGTTCATTCTGGTCAGAAAGCATGAAACTCACTGATGTGCACGTCAAGTCCACACCAAGGCAGCAGCTTTTACCTGATAGAGCTTAAACCAACATGTTAACAGGAGAAACCTGGGTTTCAGTGCCACACCCAAGGGCACTTCAGCACATGGACCTTGGAGTCAAACCTCCAACCACTCTGCCTTCTGAAAAGGATTTGACCTTGACATGATTTGAACACACAATCTTCTGATCTGGAGTCAGACGCGCTACCGTTGCGCCACGAGGTCCCTACAGGCTTCCAGCCACTTTCACATGAGGCTCAGTGTTACATACTTTGTGAATTGTACATGAAACAAGAGAAATTTCACATTATGCTTTGATAGTTGAACAAACTGCCCATGTTTGTCATCGATGATGGAGTAAACATCTTACTAAAATGCTACATGGAGTGTAGTGCTATGTCGACAAACTAGACCAAAATCACTTCCTTACATTACTTTGTGTGGGGTACTCAGTTCTGGGAGTCAGTTCTGCTGGGATTTGAACCCAGGATCCCCTGTTTACAAGGCAAATGCTTTAACCCACTAAGCCCCACGTAGGAGTGTAGGCCACACAGAGACCACGAGCAGTTTCCCTGCTAGTTACAGGTAACATCTGTAGAGTAGGTACTTTATTGATCCCACAGTGGGGAAATTTCTGTGTTACAGCAGCAACAGAGAACAACCAACATAACACCATAAGAACAGACACACAGCTGCTTGGCTGTGGCAAATAAAGAGGAGCGCACCAACAGTCAGGTTTAGTTCTGCTAACTTGTGTTTGGCTGCAGTACAAAATGATTTTCCCTGCTTAAGTAACCTATCATCCATCCAAGTTGTCTGTTTATTAGGCACACCAAGCTAAAACTATCCTGCAATAAAGCCTTCATTCTCTTCCATTATACTCTCAGGATTTTCATATTCTATTCTATTCTTTTGTTCTCCAAAGAACAGAAGGAACCTTTTTATTGCTGACTGAGGCAGACTGACTAATTTTTAGGCTTCAAACTGTGTGTGTTTGTGCAAACGTTAACTTGTACTGAAGCAGCTGACTCACAGCAGCCTTCATTCACATACTGCTACTGAACCCTCGGCACTGCTTCATATCTCTTTCTGTTTTCCTTCTCTGTTCACTGACTCCAGCTGATTCAGACTCACTGAGCTTCCACAGTATTTCACCATCGCCGGCTGGATTAAACCCAACCAAAGTGAATGGCGAGCTGCTCACTGAGCCTGAACAATGTGAGACCTGTCCGGACTGCAGCGGCCTAGTTTCACACTGACCCACATACACTTCACTCTCGCCATATACACTTTAAACACATCCACATTTCCAGATTCTCTTCAGCTTATTTACCAAAAGCAGCTAAACAATCAAGACTTAAAACAAAAATCTGAGTGAACCGGCTTTATATTAACAAACACCTGCACCTTGCCTGCTGCTGATACTGTGGATCACCCTGGGCCACCTCGACTGCTGGTGAATAAACTGCTGTTTAATTTAGCTACACTCCCAAAGGTTCCCAAACTTCTCTTATCAACTCACAGCAGGGAGGTAGGAAGTGATGTCAGGACTTTCCCTCTATAACAGTGCAGTGGAGCTAGAACTGTGACACACACAGAGGCTACAGCAGCGACTCTGTACGGCTGTAACAGTAGCTGTGAACAGAGGAGCAGGAGGCCAAAAACAGCCTGTCAGCAGCCACACTGCAGGCCTGTGTGCAGACGCAGCTGCAAGATGCATGTCAGGGCGCTGCAGTGAGGCGGGGACAAGAAGCTCCACAGCGTTGTGTCCCTGTCTATTTGTTTTGTCTCTTTTTAGTGGTTTTACACCTGTTCCTAATCCGCTTGTGTGCTTTTTTTTGTCATTTTGCATCTTTTTGGTGAAATTAAGCTTAACCCATTGGCAGTGATGAAGCTCTAGTCTGGCCATCCCCATACTGGTAGCGTTTCACTCTGCCTGCTAGGTCTAATCCAAAAGTGGGCGAAGAGGCGGGGCTGAGGGGGCAGGATGAAAGGAGC